TGAGAGTGGAGGTACATGGTACAATTTCATGCATTCGGTGCATTGGCACGTAGAGAATGGCTGAGCTTTATACTTCACATTGTTTAGATTTGCATTTACTTTACTGCGGGAGCTGAATACTTAATTAGAAAGCATGCCTACTTTACTGTACAGTTTAATTTGGTTTATCTATTGAGGTTTAGTCCGTCACTACCTATCAGTCCATAGTTTGGACTTGTTACTTACTAAGTTGGTGTACTCACGTTACCCCTTGCACCTTGTGTGCAGATCCAGGTATCTCAGGCCACGGTAGCGGCTGTTGATTACTCCAGTTGCTGATTTCCATCGGAGATAGCGAGGTAGCTGCCTGGCGATCGCAGACTTGCCTTTTTCCTTCTTTATCCTCCTATTAGTGTAGTTTGGCTACTCTCGGACTATGTTAGTCTTGCTATATTTTAGAACAGTTGTAGTATTTGCTCATGACTTAGTGACATCCGAGGTCGGGCTTTTATTTCCGCATTTTTGGCTTTTGAATTAAATCTTTTTTACGAAATTTCAGTATGAAAAAGGATATTATCTATATTTTTATGAAATATCGAATTGTTTGGGAGTGTGTCGGCTTGCCTAGTTCCATAATAGGCGCCATCACGACCGGGTTAGTTTGGATCGTGACAGATATAAAGTTATAAGAACCTTATATACCAGTTAAATTGCACTCATAGTGTAAAAGTTCTTTATATCAACTCAAACTTCTTAAAGAAGATTCATCCTTGTCACATAACATGCCCTACTAATTAAAAACAAGCAAATTTTCCGACCAAAAACTTTCGGGGAGGTCCATCGGAAAAGCTTCAGACGAGCCAATTTTCGACCGACCTTCTGTTTGCAACAAATTTATGCAGAGAAAAATAAAACTACAATCACAAACAACTATAAAGAAAAAAGGATTTTATTGATAAACATTGTGGATTACAACTCTGTTTGTCCCTTGATTCTTTTCTCTGATTTGTTATCCGTAATCCAAGGGTCTTAGAGACGTATTTCTCGAACGTAGGATGATATGCATCTTCTTGATATATTTGATTATCAAGAAGCATGTAGCAGCATTCCATTTGGATCTTGAATGTTGCTAGAACTTTGAGCAAGACATATTTGACATGTCTTTGATCTCATAATGAATATTTCAAGAGTTTTATGGAATTTCGGAGATCGTATATTTGACTCATTGTGCATCTTTCGGGAGTTTATGGAATTGTTGAGATGATCTCCATTTTCGAGATATTCTTTAAGGAAATATGTAACCTTTTTTATAGGAGTGACCTAGGGTTGAAGTAAAGTAGCCTCTAAGTCAGGGTTTTGGTAGAGTAGCCTCCAAGCAATCCTAATAGACTCCTAGAATTTCAACATTTGTTTTGTAGTATCTTGAATTTAGGATTTAGGCAGATGCGTTAAAATTTTGATGTCTACAAATGCCTCCAACTTCAAGGTTTGTCGGGGTGTAGGCTTACCGAAATTTGAAGACGGAACTTGAAGTACCTGACTATCGCAATAGAAATTTTGAAACTTGGAGTTCTCGATTTGCAGGAGCAGGAGATGAAGGGCAGAAATGGTCCCACCAGGCGTGCCAATTTGTTTGCAACAAATTTTGTGCAGAAAAATAAAACTGCAATCACAAATAACTATAAAGAAAAAGGATGTTATTGATAAACATTGTGGGTTACAACTCTGTTTATCCCTTGATTCTTTCCTGATTTGTTATCCGTTATTCGAGGGCCATAACAGTGTATTTCTCGAAAGTAGGATGATATGCATCTCCTTGATGTACTTGATGATCAAGAAGCATGTAGCAGCACTCCATTTGGATCATGAATGTTCGTAGAACTTTGAACAAGACATATTTAACGTGTCTTTGATCTCTTAATGAATATTCCAAGAGTTTTATGGAATTTCGGAGATCGTATATTTGATCTCTTTGTGCATATTCCGTGAGTTTATGGGATTGTTGAGATCGTCTTTGAAGAACATATGTACCATTATTTATAGGCATGAATCCTATAGTTGCTTGCAACAAATTTATGCAGAGAAAAAAAAACTACAATCACAAATAACTATAAGGGAAAAAGGATTTTTAGTGATAAACATTGTAGGTTACAATTCTGTTTATAACTTGATTCTTCCCCCAAGACATATTTGACATATCTTTGATCTCTTAATGAATATTCCAAGAGTTTCATGAAATTTCGGAGATCTCATATTTGATCTCTTTGTGCATATTCCGAGAGTTTATGGAATTGCTGGGGTGCGTCTTCAAAGGAATATGTATTCCTTTATATAGGTGTGCGTTAGGGTTTAGGGTAGAGTAATCTCCAAGAAACCCTGATAGACTCCTAGGATTTCAAGAGTCTTATAGTATCTTGAATTTAGGATTTAGCTTGATCCGTTAAAATTTCGATGTCTACACCTTCCTCGTAGATTTCCGACCTTAGCTTGCTCTTAATGAATTGTGTAAATATTTAATCCTACCAAAAGGTCAAGTGAGTAGTGAATAACTTGCGAGTTTAAATCCTATAACCTATATATATAGCTCAAGGAGAATATTGGGTTTAATGAGTACTAGTTAGAATCGAACCCTCACCAATAAGGTAAAAGTTCGGTAACCAACAAATTGAGCTGTGAAACTTCAGAAAAAAGTGATTTTTTTTTACAAATGAAAATGGTATTTGAAAATTAAATTTGCGTTTGGACATTAATATAATTTGGTGCTGCTTTTTAAATTTTTGTGAGTGATTTGAAGCGAAAATTTTGAAAAATAACTTTTTAGTGTTTTTCAAATTTTTATAAAATTTTGAAATTCAACTTCAAGTAAGATTTAAAGCTTTCATAGCCAAACGCTGATTTTGAAAAAAAAGTAAATTTTTTTAATGACCAAACAGGCCCTTAAATTCTGCTTACACATGCACTTAGTGGGCGTTTGAACATAAGAATTGTAAAATTCCGAAAGAAGTGAAAAAAAAGTTCAAGTGAAAATAGTATTTGAAAACTAGAGTTGTGTTTAGATATGAATATAATTTTTGAGTTATTTTTGAATTTTTATGAGTGTATGACTGAAAATTTTGGAAAACAACTTTTTGGTGTTTTTCAAATTTGCGGAAAGTTTTTGAAATTGATCTTCAAGTGAAAATTAAAAAATTATGGCCAAACATTGATTTTAAAAAAAAAAGAGGAAAAAAAATCAGAAAAAGTGTTATAAATGGCCATGATTTCATATTCAAGTGTAACTTTTAAGATTCGGCACCACATCCACCCCCCCCCCCCCTCCCCTAACCCCTTATATACTTTCCCTTTTTTTTTTTCTAACAAACCCTCTAACATTTGGTTCGGATGACTTCGGCTGCCTTATTGTAATTAAAGAGCAAAGAGAAATGGATAATTGAGTGATCCGAGAAAGGAAAGAAAGTGATAATTAAACATGTACAGTGTTGTCTTTTCTTAAAAGTAAGAAAATGCACGCTGCAGCAATATACAGATGTTCTTTGCTTATAAACATCGCTTTTGCCCGCATGGGAATTGCCTACAGCCTCACAAAACAAACTTTTCTTCTATGGCTTTTCTTAATATGTCTTTGCACTTTGCACAGCTTAAATAATCATGGGGCTGAGAGCTGAGAGTATATATCTGTATGCTCTGTTAAACTTTCGAATGAATTCAATCCCATCGTACAAAGTTCAATCGCCTGTTTTTTGTGTTTAAGAAGAAATTCACTACACAAGTACACATAAAACCATCACAAGGGAACACTCAATACATATAGAACTTTATCATAAAGCCACAAGTAAATGACTGATAAACTCTTAATTAATGGTATTATGTAGTGATCATTGTTGCAAATGGTAACACAATTTCATTAGAGAATTTGCCAATAGCGATTTCGACATGTTGTTGTTTGGGTGGGGTCCAAATTCTGAGGTGTTTCCACGAGTGCATCTTTGTATTTAACCAAAATTTGCTCCATTAGGATGTTACCATTAATATATCACTATTTTTTTTAAAGACATACATGTATAAATGAAACTTACGTCGAATTTTGCCGGTGCCGGTGACCTCTCTCTTTACGACATAGGTCAGCCTCGGGTTCCAATCAAACGTTTTATATAATGTGTTTTGGAAATATGTATCATATAAGTTCGCACCATTTAAACACTTAAAGCTTCATATATAAATTTGAAATTTTAAGGGTAACACCATCGTGGTCCTTTAAAACATTAACTTTGGTCAGAGAAGTCATTCTAAGGTTCTGTTTTCATACGATTATGTTGGTGTGCATCGGTTACTCCAAATGTCAGATTTGTTTTTGTCGTGTAAGAAAACCACTACAGTTTCAGATTAGACATGGTATCCCTGCAACTGCAACTTCCGTAGACTTGTCATGTTTCACATAGTTTTCTGTTTTGATGATCAAAACCTCTCTGCCCCACTCAATAATTTCTTCTCCTGTCACCCAACAGTCTAAAGTGAAAGGTCTGAAAAACGTAAAGAGCGGGAATCGCAAATGTTACGATTTCTTAATTTTGATACGAATTTTTTTGAAAAACTATGCTCTATTTCTATGTTGCTCGGACTCTTCAAAAGTGCTGAAGCACCCGTGTCGGATCCTCCAAAAATGCACTAAATTTGGAGGATCCGCCGCGCACTCAACAACATTTTTGAAGAGTCCGAATAACATAGCTATATTTTTCCAAATCAGTGCCAGTTCGAAAAGAGCTCCAGAGCGCTACCCAAACTCCCAATGTGGCAATAAGCTCGGAGGAATTCACTGTTTACACAATACAGCATCAGTTAATCATGATTAAGAAATATATTCACATAAAAGTATACATTTAAACATTTTTTGTTAATTTAGTTTTTTGGTATAATATGTTTGTTAATTTAGTGCAAACACCGAGTGTTGATGAACTGCTCTTAGCGGCTCCTGTTTAACTATGGAAACTTTCAGAATTATGTCTTAAGACAATTTTATGAGCAATTACAAAACCAGGATTTTACTATTACAACACAATCATTAATTTACTACGCTTCAGGATCCAACCGTCAAAGAATTTCCACCTAACTGTGACCTAACATCCACCGGTCATAAACTCAAATTGTGAACCTTCAAAAATGTTGAATTTAGAACTGGCTGGCAGATCACAAACTTTCAACTTCATAATATACTCATAACAGGTTATAAAACCGGTGATACATAAATCTATAGAGAGCTTACTAAAGTTGACATCCTAATCACGACATACAACTATATTTAGGTGCTTTTTCACCTTTCTAGTTATGTCAAGATTTGATGAACATTTTCCGAAATTCATCATTGGATTTAGGAATTTCATCTTCCGTAGCATCAGTTTCTTCTGATTTGGGTTTATCTTTGTCAACCCAACCAAGAGGCCTGACAGTTCTGGGCACCGCAAACGTATTTTTACCTTTGAGCTGGATATTAGTTGCCCGCTGATGACTAGAAGGTTGCCCCTTGCCCTCCTTGGAACCTTCAGCAGAATCCTTGGCACCTGATTTTGAACTCTCAGTAGTTTGCTCAGCACCTTCACCTGCCATTTTAACCCCCATCAGCATGTGGTCGCAGTGAGACAATAGACAAAAATATGCAATTAATAGAAATGCTGACTAGCTTCACCAAGAATCGTAATACATGAAGAGCATTTTTTTAAAAAAGTATGGAGTTCATGCAGAGTATGGAACATTGTTATAATGTAGTTCATTCTGCAGTAAGCTACATCGGGTGCTAAATACCAATAAAAGCTGCAAAATAGTAAGCCATTGCACAAGCCAAAACATAGAAGCTATCTGAACTAGATATCGAAAGCACACAGCAGAAAAGACCAAGGAAACCCAAAACGAGGAGAACAAGGCAACAAGAACTCCCAAAAAAGGGAGAAAGGTTAAAAGTCCATACTTGAAAATGTATTCAAGCACCAGCAGAGGAAACCAGGAAAAAAAAAAGGGCATGGCGGGGGGGGG